GGGTTCCTCGTTTGCTGAGAAACAGACAAGTTAACAATAGGGACACTTGGCTCTACTTGCATTTGGAGTCAGATTAGCCTGTTTCTAGCTAATTATACTGAAAAGAGCAGGGCATTGGGGGAAAGAAAACTTCCCATGAGTAACGGGTCACAGTGCAGACCCCTGGCTGGGTGTGCCCTCCTGCCCAGACTCGCCTCTTCACCAGGCCTGCAGGCACCTCCTCCAGGCCAAGACCGCATCCTGTCTGCCCACTAGCTCCCCTCGGCGTCCTGTGAGCTCTTCTCGTGCAACATTCTGACTAGTTGTTCAGGCACGAGTTTGGGTTACCTGTCTTTCCCCAGCCCCCAGAGGGCTGCTGGAGAGGAGAGTTGAAGAGGATTAAGTAAGGAGCGGCCAAGGCCCAGACATGAGATCTCACCCTGTGTCCCACCGCCTCATTCATTTGCTCTTGCTGGATTTATACTGGTCTGTCCCTCCCTCCCTCCCTCCCTATTGTTCCTTTTTAATTTTTTTTTTATTTTCCTTTTTTTTTTTTTTCCTGGAGCAAGCACAAGGTACACTGACCTCACAAAGGTTATCTGAAGTTACAGTCAGTTGCAGAAACAGGGAGGAAGAGTAGGGCCAGTGCATAAACCTATAGACGAAGGATGGTGGTGGAGAAGGGAACCCGATGTCGGGGTGCCTGCCCAGTACTGGCTTCTGGACTGAGGCGGAAAGTTGGGTCCTGGCTCACCCGCACCTGATCTGACTCTGGATCTTGCCTCTTTCAGGGCCTGGCCTATGTGGAGTATGAAAATGAGTCCCAGGCATCACAGGCTGTACTGAAGATGGACGGCATGACTATCAAAGAGAATGTCATCAAAGTGGCCATCAGCAATCCCCCTCAGAGGAAGGTTCCAGAGAAGTCAGAGGCAAGGAAAGCTCCAGGTGGCGCCATGGTGCCGAGGCAGATTTACGGAGCGTAAGTGTGTGCATGTGCCCTGCACGCGCTCGGCTCTGGCCGGCAGCACGGTGGATTCGTTTCCTGCCAGTACAGCGAGCTGGGGCGGGAAGCCAGGGCCTGCCGCTCTGCGATGCTCACTGCCATTCCCCAGAGCGGGTCCACGCAGAGCGCAAGCGCGGAAGTGGAACCCTTCCTGGTGTTTGCCAGTTTACAGGTGTGGCTTGTCTGAGGTCATTGGTTTCTAGGCAGTGATTATTTTAGTCTCCTTTGGCAGTAGAATCCGTATGTGTGGATTCTGAACCTGACAGCTGTGTGCTTGCTGCGGTAATCCGCACTCTGGCTAACCGGAGAAGACCTGGCTTTTCACCTGGTTGGAAGGAGACAGCGAAATCGTGAGGTGGTTTGGTGAGGTCTGAAAGAGGATAGCGTTTCTGTCTAGCGTAGCTACATGTGACTGTTGCACAGGGTTGGTCTTTCCCCAAATTGTGAAAAAGGCAGTTAAACTGGTTTTTGCCTATTAGTCAAAGTTACGGAGGACAGGAATCATCTTTCCTCTCTGGTTTTTACTCTTCACCTATTAACTTGATACTTTACACGCTCTGAGAAACTTCTCTACTACTAATAAACTATAGAAGTGAGCCCAGAAAGTATGGTCTTCACTTTGTAACTTTGGGTGATTGAAGACCATCCTTGCTTATTTTTGCAAATGAAGCAGGGACCACGAGTGGTTGCTTTGCAAGGATACATCCAGTGTTTGTTCTTCCAGGCGGGGGAAGGGGAGAACCCAGCTCTCCCTGCTGCCTCGTGCCCTGCAGCGCCCAAGTGTGACAGTCGCCCAGGCCGAGAACGGCCCTGCTCCGCAGCCAGCGGTCACCACCTCAGCAGCCACTGAGGCACCCAAGATGTCCAATGCCGATTTTGCCAAGTTGCTTCTGAGAAAGTGAATGGGACTCTGGAGAAGGGAAATGCCTTACTGCACGCTGGCCAGGAAGAGCAGCCGGCACCCAGCTGTACTCTGGGTATGGAAGGGCCCGGGGCAGCACCCGTCCTGTGTTATTTTCCTCGCGGTTAGACAGAAAGGGATGAGGGTGTCCAAGGAAAGAGGCTTGAAGTGCTCCCTCATATTGAGGGCAAGGGGAGGAAAGTGACCACTCTACGGGTTGAGCCCAGTGTGTAGTTTCTTAAGCTATTTTTGTGTCTTACAGAGTGAGAAACAGAAGTGAAACTCAAACACACCATTTTGAGACCTACTTGTCCGAACATTTTTGGTCAGCTCTGGCCCCCTTTTATAAGACACTTCTCTTAACAGCCTGCACAGCTCATGTGCCCGTCACTCTTTTAATTTTAAAAGACAAAATGGCAGATGCTAGTAATTCACCAGAATGGCCTATTTTAGTAAAGGGGTGGTGGGGACTGGGGAAGTCACATAAAAAACATTTGATGGATTTTTGTTGGGGGGGGGGTTGTGCGTTTTTATATTATGTATTTGTAAATGACACATCAGCCCACTGTTTTATGTTTCCTAAAAGCAAAATATTTGTGACCTTTGTTTTATATGGGAGCTCTGTGTGCCACCTGCTCTGGACCATTTTCTTTGCCTAGTGATTAGTGAACCGTGTTCTTTGTCTAAATACTGAGTTTCAGCCCTTTGGTTTTGTTTAAATACCACGTCAAGTGCAAACTTAAATTCTCCCCACTTAGCTTTGTTTATTAAACTGAAGTTCTCTTCAAAGCTTCTTGCTGAATGGTACTCAGATGTGCATTCAAACATGGATGGATTTTGAAATGGGTGCACTCGTGTTACCTAACAGATGTGTAAATAGAACTTTTGTAAGTCAGATCCCATTGTCCCTTTGATTTCAATCATTTCAGTTCTGGGTCTTCAGTTTTACACTTGACCTTCCTGCATTTTGGCCCTTCAGTTTCGAGGGTTTTCTTTCTTTCTTTCTTTACTTTTTATCTTTCATCTCTTATCAAATATTTATTGCTTTAAAAGCCATGTTCCCAGTTCAGTAGGGAAACACAACTTTTTTATAAAGACATTCCGGGAGAAGAAATCAGGAAATGCTTTCATGCGTGCTAGAAATCAACCCACTTTATCTGTTTTTTAATTTTGTACATCAGCCTTTACTACATTTTTAATGGGAAATTGGAAGTGTCATCCAGAAGTGTTGACAAAAGAGCAAAAGGAACTCTAGTGCCCGTCCTTGAGCTTCAGCATCCGTCTAGCACAGGGTCCTTCATCTCTGCTGCACCCGCCCTCCCTGTTACATTGAAGGCTGTGTCAGACATCACAGTACCCCACCCCCTGCCTGCCAGCCCTCCCAACCAGGGAGTACAGCAAGTGCCTCCAAGAGATGAGGCCCTACAGGCCATGGTTTTGTCATTACTCCTAGAAACATGAGCAGTAATGCCTTAAGGTCCTCAACTATCCAAATTCCTAGTTTCCTGTTTTATAAGTGCATCCCCCCACCTACCCTGGGAAGTTAGGGTAGGTTGATAAACATCTGAAGTCTTTTAATCTGACAGGTCCCCTCCACCTTGTCTCTCAGTTTCACAAAACATTTTTTGTTAGGTGTTAGTTGTGAATTAAATTCACAGTGGCCAGAAGAACGCATGCTGTGTCCCTGGTCCCTCCTGTGTTCCTTGGAATGGGCACCAACCCCTCCCAACCCCCCACCCCCACCCCACGGAAGCTTGTTGGTGAGGTGAGCAGATGGGGGACATGCAGGGCCTGCAACCGAGGAGCCCTTAGTCCAGGCTGACGTGGATTCACTCCTGCCGCCGCCCATTTCACTGTTTCGCTCTCTTGCTGTTGGCCCGTCTTTGGCCCTTACTTCATGCTTTCTTGTGTCAGCACAGGCTCATTACAGAATTGAACCCACTCAGACTTGGGCTCAGGGTGTGGACGGTCCGCGAAACGGACTGTCAGGAACATGTGAGTGGGTTTATGTGTTTTCCCCAGGAAATCAAGAACTGATGGTAAAGAGAAGCATGAAACACCATTTGCGTTACTGGCGTGTTAGCAGAAGACCAGGCCTGCCAGCGCAGGTAGGTGGCGTCCCCCCACAGTTCCGTCTCATCTGCTGGTCGAGACGGGCGCGTCATACCACAGTACAAACGGGGCTTAATGTTCCAAGAGGATTCCTCCTTCATCCTTGTGACAGACGGGAACACTGCCTGAGTAAGATGGCAGGGTCTCAGGCCTTTATGTAATAAAATACTTTATTAGAGTCAGTAATCTGTTCAAATAACCTCCTTTACAACAGAGCTAAAGTGCACAATTCTCTCTATGACAAAGCATGTACTTCTGTCAGGCTTTCTCGGTGTGCTTATAAAACCAAGACGATAGGAGAGTTCAGGTTGCCGAGAGACCTTATGGCAGCATACGAGTATGAAAATACTTTTTATAAAGGTTTGAATATCCCTTGGGGCCACTTCACACAGCTTTTTCTTAATCGTTCAGAAAGCTACTCTGTGCCTATTACACAGTTAAATAACTATAGAAACACCTGCCACCTCAGAAGCGTGACCTCCTTGCTGTCAGGGTGTGACTTTGCATGTGTTCACCACATTCTGACGCCGACCCAGGGCACGACAGCATGCTTTGCCGCTGGGAAAGGAGCCTGTGGCCATTTGGAGTCTGAGCAGCACAGCAGCGGCCATTTCGGCACCTGGGCCAACATGCTACTGGTAGAGAGGAGGCTTCTTCCATAGAATGAAGACTTGGAAACTTGGCCGCGTTACATGGGACATTTTATCATTTTACAAGTTGCTAGAAAAATAAGGCCACTCCAAGGCAATCTCTTCAGCTTCCCCTAGGGGACGCGGGACAGGACCAGGGCTGGGGGAGGTGGGTGCGGAGTCAGTAAGTGGGGAAGACTGCGTGACAAAAGGGACACCTCCTGGCTGGGTGAAAGGTTTTTCTTGGTTTGCTAGCAGCTCCCTCTAATTCATTATCGAAAAGGCTTATTTGGTGTTGACATGGCAGCTGTTTTCTCAGATGTGTTCTTGAATATCTACCTACACGAGGCGTTCCACTGAAGGGTTGGTGAGGGCGGACTTGGCTACTCGTACAATACCTGATCTGTTCTAGGACTCAGTTGCGTGACAAGTGCAGAGGACTTGTAGACTAAAACGTCTGGTCTGAGTTGCTGCAAACAAAGTGCAAGAAACATTTTATACACAGAAAAAACCTAACTGGCCACTCCCCTATTCTTAATTAGAAAAACAGTCTTGATGAGGGAATGTTAACAGCATCTGGTACTAGAGTCTTCGAACTAACTAGGTAAGGACTCAAGGACCTCCTTGAAATGAGCAAGGTATCTAACTAGAAATGTTGTCAACATTAATTTTATTTTGTATCTCCAAAGTTTGCTCTACCAGTGAGAATTAGTCACAACGCCCATCTCTTTGTAGAAGCAAGCTTTCAGTCATTTCTCAAAACCGGGACCAGGTTCTCCCCAAGAGTGCTGACCTCTCAGGTCAAGTCATAGGGCACTTGGAGGAGTTTCTCCTATGGCTTCTGGACCGCCTTCCATACTTCTGGCCTCTCCCCACTTGAGTGCAAATTCTGTTCCAGAACTTGTGTTCTGATCACACACACAGCACTGATGCCCCCAAAGCCTCCTTCGGGCCACCAGTGCAGACAGCGGACACCACACAACATTTACTAGCCCCACAGAAGAAAATAAATAATAACTTGGGCTGAATTATAAGTTACCTTAGAGATAAGGCTTAATAATTTAGGTTTTCTTTTTCTGAACTGAAACATCTGGAGGTAAAGAATGTTTAAGTTCTTTTTCTGTCTCCTTTTGCTTTAGGAGACAATTAGGTTTCTAGAAATGCTAAGGTTTCCCCTGCCTTGGGACATCCCTTGTCACCCAGGGAGGATTTCCAGGGTTAGGGCTTCACAGGCAGGGTCTCCTTAAACCCGGAGTGGTTGGGTTTGGCTTCAGGCAGTGCCACCGGGTACTCCGTTGTGGCAAAGAGCAGGGTGTCCAGAGTGGTCTCCGTACACTTGGCAATGAAGCGGATGAATGGCCTCACGTCGCCTTCATTGGCGACCTCCAGTACGTGGTAGTACTCAGACCTCTGCTCCTTGCGGATGGTGATGGGTGGGTAGCCTGCCTGCATCAGTATGAGGTTCATCAGCAGGCGCGAGGTCCTTCCATTGCCGTCGATGAAAGGGTGGATGTAAACCAGTTTATAATGGGCCAGGGCTGCAAACTCCACTGGGTGCAGATTCATGGCATCCTCAGAGTTGAGCCATTGGATGAACTCCTGCATCTGCTTTTCCACATCTTGAGGATGGGGAGGGATGTGGTGTCCCACGAGGACCTGTGTCGTCCGAAACCTGCCAGCTTCCACTGGATCCACGTAACCCAGCACCCGCCTATGGATCTCCAGCACGTCGCTGATGGTGACAGACCCGATGCGGGAGACTAGTGTTGTGTTGATGTACGTCATGGCTGCGTGCATGCCAATGACCTCGTTCTGCTCCTCCAGGCTTTTCCCCGGCACAGCGTAGCGGGTCTCCAGGATGTGCCTGATTTCTGAGAGGGTGAGGGTGTTGCCCTCGATCGCGACCGTATGGTAGATGTGATGGTAGTAAGTTTCCTCCATGACCCGGCGCAGCGCGGAGTTGCCCTTGGGGATGGACATGACCTTCTTCACTTTGCTGTCGATGATGCTAAAATACCTCTGGTCGATCTCCTCGACCAGCGGCAGCGTCCGGTCCCGGTTGACCAGCGCTTTCTCATGGTAGGGCGATATGGTCAACGCTCTGGTGTATAAGTAATCCGCCTGGATGATGTCCTTATCCTCTTCTGAAAAGATGCCAAACTCGTTGAGCGCATCCACGAAGTCCGGGTCCATTTTGAGGGCGTGCAGGAAGAGCTTGTGGGCCTTTTCCCGCTTGCCTTGGCGTTTCATCTCCAGGGCTTGGTTCAGAGCTGCTTTGGCTTCCAATTTACCAGCTAGAAAAGAGCCAGAGAAGCGTTGGCAGAGAGGGTTGCGGGATGGGCAAAGAATGTTCGGGGGAGCTGTCCCCTGTGCTGGGCTTTCAGTGTGCTCGTTCCAGCCCCTCTGCTCACCGTTCCACACTACACATATCGATGCATTTGTGCCCCGCAGCTGGTCTTTGTGTGTCCCCAAAGCCATTCTGTGCCCTGGGAGATACCGCCTGGATTTCCTGGCCCCCTGCCTCTGAGTGCCGCAGTGAGTGGCTGTGGCTACAGCTCCTGTTAGGTGTTTCTCCGTATTCTCCGCTCTCTGCTGTCCTGTGTCAGTCCTGGTGATCCTGGCCCTGACCCCTGGCCCCTCAGGCTTAGGCTGTTAACAGCTCCCCCTGATGCTAGGCTCTGGAGGTTTCTCCATCTCTGGGCTGTTCTTCAAACCTTTTAACCCAGTGGTTCTCAACCAGGGATGACTCCCCCCCCCCCCCCAGGGGACAGTGTCTGAAGACTAGTTGGGTTGTCACAGTTGGGGGGGAGGTGCTACTGGCATCCAGTGGGTAGAGCCCAGAGATCCTGCTCAGTATCCTGCAGTGCACCCCAGAGGACAGTGTGCAGGGAGAGAAACTGCTCTAGATCTAGCCCTCCCATCACCAGCCCTCCACCTGCTGTGTGTCCGCCACACACTGGGTTGCTTTTCCTCACATCCTCAGGCTCTCTCACCCTCTGGTCGCCACCTGGTTGTACTTGCTCCCCATTCCTTTTCCTTTGGGTCATTTTCCTGTTTACAGTGGGGTCTCAGCTCAGGCATCCCCTCCAGGGAACCTACTTGGTGTGCTCCCTTGTCTCCCCATCACCGCTGGTGATGCTTATTATCTTAGCTGACTGTCCGTTTGTCTAGGCTGGGAGCTCAGGGCAGTCTTGTTCGCTGAGTACCCTGTACCCTGCACGTGGGACACTGCAGGCACTCCACACAGCTATCCAATTAAGAAGTGGTGAGGAGCGGTGTCTGGTCTGCCTTACCTGGAGAGGCCTTGGTCTTGACCGCCAGCAGTGCCTGGTCCCTGGAGGTGACACTGAGCTCTGTGGATGGTCTGCTGCACTTGGTGACGGCATGCTGCACCCTGTCCAGCTTGCTCCTGAGCAGGTAGAAGCCCTTGAGCACGGTTAGACACTGCTCTTCTAAGGCTCCCAGTGGTAGCAGCAGCGCCAGCAGGGACCCCAGCACCATGCTCAGCAGCATAACCCACAGGAAACGGCCCCAGACAGAGACCCATTTTGGTTCAGTCACTGCCATCACTGAAGCCATCGGCATGAGTGTCATCTGGACTCAGGGGTGGGCCCCCTGCACATATTCAGTTGCCTGAAAACAAGATCTGCAGGGAACCAAGAGTTGTAGATGAGGCAGGGGAAGCGGGCATGTTCCAGATAAGTTTCTGAATTCAGTGGGGGCTTGGAGGCTCCCACACCTCCTATTTCACTATGACCAGGGGGTTGGGGCAAGGCGGGAAGTGGATATAAATGGGAAGGGGCCAGCCTGGAGGGCAGGTGCCACTTCCAGGGCCCCGTGACTCTGAAAAATAATGCCATGACACTCAACATTTACTGAGCACTTACTGTATGCCAGGCCCTGGGCCAAGCACTAAGGACCTCACACTATCTCTTGCAATCTTCAACAGGAGCTGATGGCTACAGTCATCCCATTTCTCCACATGAGGAAACAGGCTCAGAGAGATGAAGCCCCTTGCCCAAAGTCACCCAGTGAGTAAGTGACAGCCTTAGGACTTGAGTTCAGGAACCCATGGCTCTGAAGTCCCCCTCCCTTGACCACAGGTCTCTGACCACACACATACCCAGATTGGCCAAAGCAGTTCTGAGGTCTAGTCTTTGATAAACACAGCTGTTTGGTGGCCTGATTTTGCTGCCTCATGGTGGCTGTCAATTCATGCCCACATCCTGGTATTAGCTGCAGTGCTGCTCCCCTCTCTAGCCTGCCTTCCCTGACCTGTCCAGAAAGGGTCTCACCGAGAGCTTGGGCAGTCCAAGCATCTCAAAAGGAACTCAAGCTGCGGGCCAGAGTGGGTGACCACTCACCCCCCACATGACAGTGGGTATGTGCTTTGGGCTGGCAGTGGGAGTGGAGGGGTCAGGTATGCAAGCACCATTATGCTAACAATAAGCATTTATTGGGCAACTATGGTATACTGAGCACTAAGCTGAGTGCTAGCCATGCATTATCTCAAACATCAATACCTTATGAAGGAAAGCTACCCCCAACTCCATTTTACAGACAAGAGAAACTAAAGCAGAGTAAGCCAGTCTCTAGAAGGCCACGGGAGTAAACAGAAGCGCCATGAATGAATGGCATCCCCAGTACATCTGGGAAGAGCACCCAGGTCTTACCAACCAGGACCCATGCACCCCTGCTCCAGCCTGCTCCTGGTGCTGGGCCTCCAAGACCCAAAAATGACTGATTAGGTTTCTGATCGCCCAGGGCTTGGAGTCTAATGAGGGAGCCTGGCTCGTTGATACACCTGAAGTGGCCCGGTCTGCGCTCTAACCGGGGTACGCTGGGCATGCTGTCGGGTTTTAGAAAAGGGTATGGGTCACTCCTTCGTCCAGGTGCTCTGAGAGGCTCCCGGAGCGACGGGATCTGCGACAGGTCTGGAGTTCTCCAGGGACCCAGGTCTGCGCGGGGGAGGCAGGAGATAAGAACGTCTCACCCCTCACTACTCTAGGAAGGGGGAAACTGAGGCCCAGAGGGGCGAAGTGGCTGGACTTAGGTCCCTCTGAATTCCGCCCAGGCCTCACTTCCCCGCTGCCCCCTGCCCAGCTTGCCCCTTCCGAGCCCCTGGGGCTCGCCCCCTCCTACCGCGCGCGCTGCTGCCCGACCCCTGCCGCCGCCTTCCAGGCGCTCGGAGGCTCCGCAGCCACCGGCTCCCCGGCCCTGCTCCGCCGCTACCCCTCTGGCCCCGCCCCCGGCGACTCGCAATTGGTCGGCCCGCCATCCTCGTCGCGGCGGATTGGTTTACCCGACTTGTGGCCGCTTCGCACTTCCGGGTTCTAGCCCCTGTGTCTGCTTCCCCGGGAAAGACGCGCCGTGGGTCACCCCCATTGGCTGACTCCTGTGTTGGTCTCGTGCACTCAGCAGCCAATAGGTAGCCGTAGGGGCGGGGCTCGGCGGCAGGCGGGAGTAGCGGGCGGAAAACCCGCGGGGCGGCTATATGGGGGTTCGATAGGTTCCGCGACCGGAAACTCGCAATTCCACCTGCTGTGAAGTGCTGTTCTTCTGCTCATTGTGTGGGGCCGCTCTCCTGGGCCTCGGTTTCCTTAGGTGGAAAATGAGGATGATCCGCACCCTTTTTGTCTGACTTCAGAGCTCCTGTTCTTAGTCACCACCCTGTGATACCAGGCTTGCCCCCTTACCCCTCTTTCTCACCTCTCTTTCCCTTTTTCTCCCAAACTTTTTAATTTGTATCCACTCGAGAAGGAACTGGCTGGTTTATTTAGCTTCTCAGAGAGACTGGTATTTTTCCTTGAAGCAGAGAGCTGAAACCCGCATCCTCGTTCACAAATACTGGAATTCAACATCCAGGACGTGCCCAGAAACGCTGAGCAATTAAATGTTAGCCTATAGTTTCTGGAGGCAGAGAGACCCTGGCTTCAATCCAGACTTTGTCACCTAAGCTCTGTGTGATCTTGAGTGTTGCTCCAAGCCTCAGTTTTTTCATTTGTAAAATGGGGACAAACAGCCAATCCCACCTTTGGCCTGACCACCACCAAGTTCAGGATCTGCAGAAGGCCTGACCTTCAAGATCTGACCTCTTCCACCACACACATTCCCTTGGGAGCCCCTATCAGGCAGTGGTTGTGGGTGTCACACTGAAGCCACACAGCCCTGGGTTCTAATACCAGCTCTGCCACTTGGAAACGGAGTTACAGTCAGCAAGTGACTTGATTTCACTGGTCCCGTCTGCTTTTCTGTAAAAGGGGGGCAGTGTGATGACATTCCCTCCTCATAAAGTTTAGTGTGACGGGGAAGTGAGATCCTACATGTCTGGCACAAAGCAAACATTTGATAAGTATCTGCTGTTGCAATTATTCCTAGGGAAGACATAAAGTCATTACTGTTTTGTTATTCACAGAAGAAATTGTCAGAGCTGCAGGTGGCTCCAGTCCCTGGGGAGTGACTCCGTGTCCTCTCATAGGTCTCAATCTGCTTCCAGTTTAGGCAAGTGTGCTGTCGTAAAAGACACCATGGGGCGGGGGTGGGGGTCATTGCAAAGTGAAGGACCAAACAACTTTGGCCCTTGCTGGTTGTGCTTCCTGTTTATATCTTGTAACCATTCCCCATTCCCCCAGCTCCCAGCCCTTGGCATGGAAATTGGCATCTAGTAAATGCTCGAGAAATTTTGTTGACTCAAATAAGAAATACCCAAAGCAGGACAAACCATATTGTTTTTAAGAAACAAAATCAGGATAGTGGTTACTTCTGGGGCTTCTTGTTTCTATTTTTTAAACAAAGAATCCAACATTGTTCTCTTGAAGTCTTGTGAATTTTGCTTCTGATGGCCCAAGCAGTAGTGTTGTAAAAACTTTCCTCAGAAAATGGCCTACTATGCAACCAGCTAGTTATGGGGGATGGTTGGTGGAGTAGAAAGAATTGAAGCTCAGGGGTCCAGCCGGTAGGTGTTCAGTTGCAGGGTGTATCTCTTATTAGCTCTGTGTCCTGGAGCAGGTCACTTACCCACTGAACTGGGTATCCTGGGCTTGTGGACCTCTACCCCTCCCAGGCATAAGGTGATGTCATCATTTGCTTATAAAGGCACTGTCTGGGGCACTTGGGTGGCTCAGTCAGTTAAACATCTACTTTCCGCTCGGGTCATGATCCCAGGGTCCTGGGATCAAGCTCTGTGGCAGGCTCCCTGCTCTCCCACTCCCTCTGCCCCTCACCCCTGCTTGTGCTCGCTTGCTGTCTCTGTCTCTCAAGTAAGTAAAATCTTTAAAAAAAAAAAAAAAGAAAAAATTAAAAAACATAAAGGCACCATCCACTTTCCACATTCTGAGGTGCCAGCGTCGCCTCTTCAATGAGCTTAGAAAGATGGGTAGCAAGCCCAGAGGAGAGGCTACACAAGAACCATGGATGAGTAAAATTGCCTGGGCATGAGACAACAGGGGGAGGTGGGGAGTGTGGAGAAGGTGAGAGTACCTGCCTCATCCAAAAGGGGCAGCAACTTCTCAGCTCTAGCCTACATTTATTGTGTAAAAAATGTATTAAGTCCAAAAGTTGACAGATTTTCTAATTTTTCAAGAGAGATGTCAGGCCTAGATTTTTAAGCAAACTCTCCAGATTTTCAAACAGTTGGTATGTCTGCCCACTGGCTACGGAGGGCTGCCAGACCGTAATCCCCGTTTTAGGCTTTTAAAATGGGCCGGAGATGGTGGCTGGTGGAACACAGAAAGGAACGTCATAGATGCCTCTCAGCAGATGATCGCACCACTGCCTGTGACCACTAGGGGGTAGTAATTTCACGGGCATCACTTCCCCCATCCAGTCTCTTTGTCAGGAGACCTCAATTTTCTTGACTGCCTTCAGCTGCATTGAATGCACAAAACAGGGTCCCTGAAGGATATTCAAAAGTTGGCTTGCTCCACCTTAAGCATTCCATGTTGAAATGGCCTCCTCGCGGGCTGCAGAGGAGTTCTCTAAAAGCTTACCTTGACAACTGCAAAACAAAACAAAACAAAACAAACCCTTATGCATCTTTAAGAAACAGCAGTCAAGCACTTCTTGGAGGCAGAGTCAGATTCTATTGCTTAGGAAGCACAAAACTCCCCAAATGGAGGCTATATTGCCTTGAAATGGCTCCAGAATGACTCAACTTCATTTAAAAGAGAATGCACCATACTGGTCCCCCCTTCCCCTGACACCCCCTCTTCCTCTCATCTCCTAGCCTGCTTGGATTTTTTTTTTCTCTCCTAACTTAGAGCTGCTGCCGAAGAGCAACCCCCCCACTCCCACCCCAGCAGCCCTTCTCCCTGACTACTGACATCTTCAGTTTGCATACCCAGTGCGGTCAGGCCCAGTGCCTGGGGCATCCCCAAGAGGCAGGGTTTGGGGGAACACCCTGTAGGTGTCCTTGGGCCCAAGGCTCCTGCTCTGGATTCAGGATGATCTCAGATATGCCAAGTGTTGCTTTCAGAGCCAATCACTTGGGGAAGAGATGTTTCTTACTTTCAATAAATTAAACATAACTCTTTTCTTGTTAAATAGCCAAAATAACCAACTACTTTAGTTCCCCCCCCCTTTTTTTTTAATTGAAGTGTAGTTAACATACAATATCATATTAGTTTTGGGTATATGACATAGTGATGCGACAATTCTGTACCTCACTCAGAGCTCACCACAAACAGTGCAGTTACTGTCCATCACCTTACACGGTTTTTACAACCACTTTATTTCCTAAAAGCAAAATGGGATCACAGATAGAATAGAAGCAAAATGGGGTCACAAACAATAATAAGAAAAAAATTCCCATGGGCAGTTATACTAGATATTTTTTATGCATGTCTACTTTTAAATTATGAAGTATTTCAGACATCCAGAAGGCATAAATAATAAAATGGGTACCTGTGTGCCAAGTCTCCAGTTTAAGAAATACCATATTGGGGCACCTGGGTGGCTCAGATGGTTAAGTGGCTGCCTTCGGCTCAGGTCATGATCCCACGGTCCTGGGATCAAGTCCCTCATTGGGCTCCCTGCTCAGTGGGGAGCCTGCTTCTCCCTCTCCCTCTCTCTCTCCCCCTGCTTGTGCTCTCTCTGCCTCTCTCTCTCTCTCTCTCAAATGAATAAATAAATCTTTAAAAAGGAAAAAAAAGGACTAGAAATGATCCAAATACCTATCAACAGGTAATGGGAAATCGTAAGTGGAGTACAACACAGCAATTGACAGTTGCTGAGCTCAAACTAACTGTATCAACATTAATATAAATCTCTACAATATAATGCTAAACCAAAAAAAAAAAAAGCAGGAGGATACACAATGTATATATAACGTGTAAAAGCGTGTAGAATATTGCTATATATTATTAAGAGTATATACATATGGTTAAAAACAAGAAGCCATGTATGGATATAATAAGCAACAAATTCAAGACAGTGATTGTCTCTGGGAGGGAAGGAAGGGGAAGTGACACCAGAGAGGATGCCCAGGACTTCAGAGTATTGGTAATATGATCTATTTCTTTTTTTTTTTTTTTTTAAGACTTACTTATTTACTTATTTTAGAGACAGAGAGAGAGAGAGCACGAGTGGGAGGGGCAGAGGGAGAGGGAGAGAGAATTTCAAGCAGACTTGGTGG